GAAAGGAAGGCGCAAGCGGTGAAAAGCCCCTTGGAAGTGCGCCTAACTAAGGCAGATTAAGGGACGTGTTATGTCGGCTCGGCCTGAGCCGCCAGGAGGCAGTTTAGGTCAGCCGAAAGCTTGTTGGGGGGTCCGAGCGAGAGTTTCTCGGTCTGCGCACACTATAGCGAGTGTTGATAGGGGCTGCATAGGCAGCTGTCTCACGAATGAGATGATTTGGGTGGGACTCTGAGGCTTTGAAAAATCTCTCAGAGAGTGATTTAAGGAACTGCTGGATTGTTGGGAGCTCTAAGTCTCGGTGTAGGTCGGCATTACGGACATAATAGGGCGAGTTAGTGGCCCTACGATAGAATAGATTTTGAACTATTTGAAATTCATTTATAGCTTTGGGCTTAGCATGTGCGAAAATGGGGGCCGCGTAGGTCATGACAGGTCGTATGCAGACCTTATATAGGGTTCGCTTGTTGCGGAGGGACATTTTACTGTGTCTGCCCAACATGCTGTTGAGCCTACCCATGTAAAATCGTGCGGTGCGAGTAACCTTCTTGATATGGGGTTCGAAAGTGAGCCTTGCATCAAGGGTGACGCCTAAATATTTGGCAGTAGTTTGCCATGGGACTGTTTTATATTCGAAGCAAACGGCGGAGCTTTTCTCCGGGTTTACGTCGATACGCTATTTTTGGAACCAAGCTCCTAAGTCGCTTACTGACTTTTAGATCTTGTTCCGAATCTGTGGCAGTGAGTTGCCTTTAGAGTAAAGGGCTGTGTCATCTGCGAAGAGGGCTAGTTTGACACCATTCGACGGGATAGGGATGTCGTTGGTGAATAGTATATATAGGAGGGGGGCAAGCGCAGAGCCTTGAGGGACACCGGCTTTGATTTGACGAGTAGAGGATAGCGTGCCTTCGTGTCTAAAGCGAAAGGTACGATCCTTCAGATAGGAGGCTATAAGGCGAACGATACGGTCAGGTAGGCCTAAGTCGTTCAATTTGTAGATAAGGTCTGCCCTCGTGCCAAACTCTGTCGAATGCCTTGGCATTGTCGAAAAAGACCGCGATGTTTTTTTGCCGACGAGGATAAATACCGCTGAGGATATATTCCACTATGCGGTGAACTTGCTGGGGGCAAGAGTGTTTGGCTCGAAACCCGAATTGTTGTGTCGTCGCCGTCTGTGGCAAACAAATGGCGCCTCATGCGCACGAGAATGACTCGTTCGAAAAGTTTGCCCATGGCCTTGAGGAGGCTGATGGGACGGTGATTGGAGGGGAGGTGGTGAGGTTTGCCTGGCTTGGGAATGTCAATGACAGTTGCCTCTTTCCAAGAGGTAGTAAAGTAGCTAAATTCGAAGCAGGCGCTGAAGATTATAGCCAATAAGGCGATCACCTGCTCCGGAAAGTGTTTGAGGGCTTGGTTGGAGATGCCATCCGCACCCGGTGCTTTTTTGGGCTTAAGTCCTTTGATGGTATATGAAATTTCATCTTTGGACACAGTGATAGGCAGAGGCGGTGGGGGGCGAGTTCCGGCGACGGACCTCGTCCTCCACTAGTTGGATGTGTATGGGGTCAGTGGGTTGTGAGCTGGGAGAGCATTGAACGGTCACGCTGTCGGCGAAGCACTCAGCCCTTTCTTCGTCCTCAAGGGCAATAGAGCCGTCGGGACGAGACAGAGGGGGAGTATGCGTTATAGCGTCTATCCGGAGGGCTCTCGCCATCTGGTAGTACGTTGTGTGGGAAGGAGAGATTTTCTCCATGAGATTGCCCCTTTCGAGGTCTCTGTAATCTTGGAGGCGGTAACGGAGTTTACGTTGAAGGCGGTGGGCCGCGAGTCTATATTCGGGAGTGGGATAGCGTGCAGCTCTGCGGAGGGCAGCTTTTTTTGGCTTTTAGCAGGTTGCTTATATCTAGGGGAAGACTAGTTTTAGCAACCGGCACGACCTTTTCATTCTCTTTAAGAGAGAATGTTATAATTGAGGTGAGATTTTCGACCGCGCTGTCTATTTTCCCCGTACTGTCGAGGACCTCGGAAGAAAGGGTTATGATAGTTTTTAAGTTTTAAGTTTTTGTGGGGCGGCGGAGGGCTGCGGGATGTTGGTTGCCTTTGGGAACCAAGGGTTTATTAGGAGCGGCGCAAGCTGGGAGAGCGGAAGGCTCATAAGGGGCCGAGGAGGGCCCTGAGATGGCCGATAGGGGCCCTAAGGGGGCCGATAGATGCCCTGTGTGGGCTGAGATGAGCCCTGAGGGGGCTGTGGTAGGGGCTGGCCCTGGCGGGGCATGCGGCTTCCAAGAGCCGGGAAAGTTCGGTCATTGACCTGGGGTGGAGCTTTACGGATCAGAAGTGTGCGAGGAGCGCTAGGGCAGCCTCTAAAATTGGCCGGGTGGCCTGTTTGTCCGCATAGGACACATTCGGGTGGGGATTCGGAGCTTTTGGGCCGAGGGCACTCTTTCGAGTGATGAGGTTCTAGGCACTTAACGTACCTGGGTGGGGCTGAGCAGTTGGCTGCCGCGTGCCCGTAGAGTTGGCAGCGGTGGCACTGCGCTGGGTAACCGCGCCGGTGTGGGGCTTCGACCTTTACACGCGACAGGCCGCACACAGTGCGTACCTCGCGGAAGATGGCCTTCGCCTCCGGCACATTGGTGAGAACGAGGAGGACGAGGTTATATCTCTCGCCCCTGCTGCTGTGCATTTTGTGCACAGTCTCTATGGGGAAGTCAACGTACGCGTTACACCTACGCATTGAGAACACTACGCTCGGCGACGAGTATTTTTGTTTACCTAAGACAAAGTATTTGAATAAGAACTACTACTTCAACTTAAAGGTCAATCGGATCTAACACGGTTAGACAGCGCTGAAAAGATTCCGATACATTTATTTTTCACATATGCCTCAAAACCTATAATAGCATGAGGTTGCTTAAAGTCGCTTAGAATGAATACTTTGCAGTTTTTACTCACTTCCAGACACCTAAATAATCTGAAACTTTACAAAATAATTAAACTACTAATAAAAAGTGCAACCCGACTTCAAAACTACAAAAAATAATCTCCACATAAAAGCTTCCCGACTTCATGAGTTATTATATGGAGATTATTTTTTAGCATAAAATATTTCTTAATACGCATACATATAGCCTATTTAATAAAAAACGAATCAATAAATTGGTTCAGCTGATTCCGAGAAATCAGAAAATTCAATACTCGTCGAACATTATCTTTTGAACTTGACTAATAAGTTTTTAGTACGTAATCTTTATATTTATAAAAATTTAATCCGTGAATAATAAGCTAATTGGCCGTTTTATCGCCCTACGCTGATCAAAGGATTTGATGGAAATAAACATAATCTATTTTAAAGTAACTAGCTTTCTCATAAATAATTAATAATTATCATAGAGGAAAAAATATTGTGATAATTTTGCTTTTTCTGAATTTATCGCAAGAATTTTACATTTTAAGTTAAAATAAGCACAACACAAGATTACAAAAAACACTAAACTCACAAAACATTACGTTATATGTGTCATGTCGTATATTTCCTTTTACAATAACGAACCGTCTCTCAACACAAGCGTTAGCAACTCAACCCACCTTCACTGTAAAGTGGGCTTTTTCACAAGGTCTGTAAATCCGCAAGGCGCAAAGCCATTTTGCACGCTCGGTAAACTCAGAAACTGGGCCAAAGTAGGCTTTTGCGAAATATACAGGATTTTTTCATCCTCCCTCACTATTTACGTGCTTAAGAACTATTTCCTTGAAAGGATTCCACGTGCCGTAGAATAAAATGAAAAATTTTGTAAACCGTTATTCTTCTTATAAGATTTCTGTAGTTCTAGTTCGCGCCAAGCGACACGCGACAAGCCCGGGTTCGATCCTCACTGATATCAATGAAATAGTTGATTGCAATTTTAAATAGTGATTTCCACGTGCTCGGCGGAGAGGGAAACATCGTGGGGAATCCAGCGTCCATACAGCCAACCACCACCAAAGGCACAGGCGTCCTCTCGTTTTAAGACAGTTATGGAGCTAATTATACCGTAGCGCTACTCTAATGCGTTTTGTTAGATTTCACATCATGTACTCTAATTTTTCCTCGGAAGTTATTCCTCAGACATGATTGTTTCTTTTTTTTTTTGCAATTTCATGAAGCACTCCTAATGAACGAGTAACTAAAAGACTATAAAGTATTAATTTTACGTTATACGAACTATAATTATATATATATATATTAATACTTTATTTTACGTTATACGAAATATAAAGTATTAATAATATACGTTTAATTTTAAGACAAAACTATTTTTAAATAATTAAGGATCAATTTTGCAACGTTGAAATATAATCTCAAATGGCTTAGCAAGATCCTTCGTTATGCCGAAAATATTGCAGCATTAATTTTGAAATAAATATATGGTAAAGTTGAGGATTAATGTTATGGATTATGTTAGACGAAAACACGATTTCGTAAAATTTTCTCGATAGAAAAAAATCCAAAGTTACCTCCAAAATAAACAATAAACCGCTGTTATTCATAAAATACTTTAAATAAGATCATGAAACTTTGCATACTAACTGAACTAACTATAAAGCAGTGCTTATGTTATTTTTTTAAATACAATTATTTTCTCTGTAAAAAGAAATTACCTAAACTATCGGCCTCTTGATGCGTGATTCCTGCCTCCCGGTCACTTCGCTTCGGCCTTTGAAGGGGGAGGTTGTGTCGCTTACGATCACAATATACATTACGCAACAGGACGACGTAAAATTAAAATGGGAAATAACCGTAATAAAAATAAGAAGCGACTGGCTTGGCGTTAAGAAACAGGCATAAATATGATAAACCTAATGAAATGAGTGTCTAACGACCTTTCTACTTACAATATTAGTGATTACAAACATGTCGGTACATAGCATACGACGCGCGGGCAAGTGGGGACGAAATTAAAATTTGAGCTGACTTACTATATCCCCTTAACATACAACCGCTTCTAATAAATGCGTCAGCGATGACTGATGTAATAGTTCCACGTAAACACGCTACTACTGAATTGGGTGAAAACAACTCCAAATATAGTATATCAAATGATTTCTGAGCAAACTGAGCGATTGCCACCACTGATATGTACTACAACTACCGGATAATACGACGGCTTTCAATAAAATATTGTAAAACTTCACAAATTTGCAGAAGCCTTACGAATACACATCTGCAACCTGATAAAAATCACTCCAAATTTGTAATAAAATACACTCTATTAAGATTGTAAATAACCAATTGCATTTTGCTTGATACATGACTTCAGTAGTTATTCCAAAATTAGTCACTCTACAATCGAAAAAAGACTTTGTGAACTCCGAGAACTAATATAAATTCGGCTGTCTCATTATTAAATTAAGTAAGGTAACTAAGTGCATTATACTTCAAGGGTTAAAGACTGTAATTAATTTTACATAATAGTGATAACACATAAATCGAAGTAGTCCTTTAATTTTAAATATTATTTCTGGTTTTATTTGACGTTTTATTGTATTGTATTTTGCCTATTTCTACTGCTATATAAATAAGTAATAAGTAAGAATAACCCACACTTTTTCCTAGGCTAAGACGTAACCCTGCCACTTAGTAAATGTTATGTTCTTTCCACAGCTCCAGATTTGCGAGACCGACGGTATCGAAGAGTTGAGCGACGAGGAATCCCCGAACACTGGCTGCCGCCGCCGCCGCCGCCGCCTTGTAGTTGTAAAAACGCTTTGGCGCGGTTGCCATAACGATATCAAGTAAGAATGAATTCTAACAACATATCTAAAGTCTCTACCACTCTTCTGTGCTCATTAATTGTTATTCATGGTAGTTTAGTGTAATAAGATTATAAACGAATAATACAACACTTAATTTTATTAAGATTGACTCTCAACTCTCATTTTTTCTATTATAACTATTTTTAGATTCGGTAAAATATTTTTACTCTTAAACAAACACGTATCGTGTAAGGTGTCATTATACAAGCGTTCTTTTCTCAGGGCGGCGTTTGCCCGCGAGGCTACATGGGGCGCAGGCCTCAAGCACCCTCAACTTGCGAGAGTCCTTGGTTTGAGCCTGCTAGAACCCCCATGCGCAGCACTCGATCGCGGCGAAGCTGCACCTCTCCCGACGATCCTCAAAATGAACAGGAAATTGAAGTGCGTAACTGCAAAATATTTGTTTATATTATTTGTACAGTGAAGGAAAACACACACGAGAAACTAAAACTAAACTTCGTGACAATGAGACAACTCTCAAAATGTGGATCGCAGAAGAATGCAGAGTATCAGAAGTAGGATAATAAAAATATATAAATATAATGAAAATATAAATAAAGCAGATGTTCCAAAATAGGCTAGGTCACTGTATACACTAACCTCAAAAAAACTAGAAAAATCTGTAGAATTTGGGAAAAATACTATAATTCGAACACTGGACCACATGATCAATCATCGTGTTTACGCCACTAGATCAAAGAAGCAGTCATATGAATTTAAATTTAATATTATGAATTTTTTGTATACATTTAATAAATCATGTTACTTTTTTTCAGTTATTCGAGTTTGATTCACATATGCTGTCAGATAGCAGCAGGCATGAAATATCTGGAATCATTCGAGTTAATACACCGAGATCTCGCGGCACGGTGAGTTTCACAATTGGTGACGGTGACATTCGGAATTTTAAAACTCACAGAATATAGGTATATAACATATTGTTACGAGCTTGAGGTTCGTGACAATAAAAACTGCCGATTGAATTACCAAAATTTACACTTTAATTTTCTTTACACCAATTAAAACTTAGAACACTAATAATTAATCACACTGATTCACTTTATTTCGCTCCGAAGCTTCACTTGTCTCGCCAAATTCAATACTGCCCCGACCGCATCTTGCAGAGCCTTTAAATACACGTTTTTCACCGAAACGTCCAGAATATTCAAGTAAATACGCGCGCCAACCGAACAGGCGCAGAAAGTTCGAGCGTGGGGCTTCCAGAAAGCTTAATTCTTCTATTCGATACTAGATGGCGCTGTTGGTCGAAAGATTAGTCATGTCATTTTCTGGAAAGCTCTCCTCGCTTTGTTACCCGACACTAGATGGCGCTAGTGCCAGACGTCAACTTAGGCGCGCAACAATATTCTCTCAACTCTTCAAAATCAAAAACCAAAATTAAAATTGCTGTTAAAGTTTGGTACTTTAGATTATTTCATTATGTCTGACTGTTTCATATATCCGATAATTTGTTCAATTTTATATTAAATTATTAACTCATTATTCTACAGAAGTTTATTAACTTACTATTCACATACGGTTGATTATATGGATCTTTATTTGATATATCGTTGCTATCGAAATCCACACTCTTACGGGATAGAGCCATGCAGCTTTATAAGTAGTATAGTTGTAGCACGAATGGGTCGGTTCAACTGTTGAAGGACCACGCTCTCACAATAACAGCGTAAAATTACAGCTTAAGGCTGCTGTGTTTCGTGTGGTGAGTTTAGAGAACCGAAGAACCTTTTTACTGGGAAGGAGGCATTACATCTTATTACTCACAGGTGACAAAGCATCTGAATTTCGATTCGTAATCGAGGATAGACGTAGATGTCTATGGGCCACAACACCACTTCTTACCATCAGGTGGACTGTGTGCCTGTTTATCATATAAAAAATCCTATATCTATCACCCTTATCATATAAAAAATCATATTAGTTATTTCTTTAAAATCATAATTCATAAATAATAATTAATAAATTATATTTTTACAGCAATGTTACCGTGACAGAAGAACTGAATGTTAAGATATCCGACTACGCAATGTTCTGTGAGGAGTTTACCTGCGATTACCACATCAGGGCGGACGGCTGTCGCTTCCCACTACGCTGGATGGGCTGGGAAAGTTTACTGATGGTCAGTTTCAGCATTAAAATATTATGTTATACTTCATCTTAAAGCTGATCCCCTTCCATGTTAGATTAAATTTGTAACTTTACGTTTGACTGGCGCTTATGCTCTTTGTCGATAATCTGGATATTTAAAAAGACCTAAGCATAAGCATAATTATATAATTAAGAACTTGATGTTTATGTAAAAACCTATAGTATTCGAACAAACTAAAACTACATAAAATATAATTTTTTGGTTTTGATTTTTAAGACTGTGAACGTGTTAGAGCCATGCTGCAGCTATATTATGGTTGTAGTACGAATGGTTCGGCTCGACCGGGGAAGGAACACGCTCTCACAGAATACCAACGAAAATTGCAGCTCAATGCTTTTGTTGTGTTTCTTTTTGGTGAATGTAGAAAACCAGAGACCCTTTTTACTGGAAACGAGGAATTCCATCTTAGTCCTCACGGGTGACAACGCATCAGCTTTTTTATTCTTAATCGAGGATGGTTGCCTATGAGTCACAGCATCCACTTACCCATCAGGTGGGCTGTGTGCTCGCTTGTCACCCTTATGCTATGAAATGGACGGGTTGTAAATTTTGAAATAAAATGTTATTGTTACTCATCATTATCATCATCAATATTAGAGACCTTGGTTATTTCACTGGTAAACATAGGCTAGAATAAATACCAAAGCACTGTCCTGAGCTATCTACATCCATCAACTTACTAATATTCACTGTTATTAACTAAATATGTTTGAGTTTTGTTGTTTTCAGTTCTAAAAGTTAAAACCTTTATAAATAAAGTAATATTCTTTTCCCATCGAAGCATGCAATACTGATTTCAATAGAAATAAGATTTTAAAACTTTGAGAAAAGGATACTTGAAAGCATTCAACTTTGCCTGGATGATTAAACTTAAAAGGCTTTCACAGTACCTAGATATAAAATGAACTTTTCATTGGCTGATGCGTTTTGTCTTACTAAATGAGAGATATAAGGGTGGTTGCTACTTGTCAGTTCGAGAATAACCAGAATTGGTGTAGGCGCCATCTAGCGCACCATTTAGAATTTAATGTTTGAAAGTTTCTATGGATATCGTACAAGATGGCACTAGTGTCTTTGCAAATTATTGAACCCCAACCTAAAGAATGGAAGTGTACCCCCCCTGAGTCTGTGGATCGATTTCCTTTCTTATTATTTCTAAAAAATTGTACTATATCCCATATTATTCAATAAAAATAAAAATATTAAGTAATACATTAAAAAATAAAATATGTAATTTTCGTTTCCGCAGTATACCTAATATTGTTGGAATAAAATCGAGAGTAACAAAAATAATATATATTTCTCATAAAAGTTTAGGTCTAAATATCTAAGTAGATAGATTGTATAGTGGAGTTATTAGCTTTCCATGAGATAATATACTCACCTCGTGAGAAATCGACAGATAAAAGTTGGCGCACACCAGCAGCTGTCTCAGCCAGTAATTGTCTTCGCACACTGCGTTGAAACCTGACTCCACAATTGCAACATACACTTCTATTTTCATTGTATGCTGATCTAGCTGTTTCCATTTTCTTAAAATCGCATATAAATACAAAAAAAATAGTAGCGTGACGAACGTCAATGCCGTAAAGATTAAAGATGCCCGTCCGCCGGTCGCTGGGAATTACCAGAAGTCAATGACAAAATAACTTTTTGGTCCACAGTTATTTAGAACTATGTATTTTATAATATGATATTAGCTAAAACTTTTAGAAATTAAACATAAATAAAGTTCTTAATGGTACCTATCTTCTTTTGTCAGCTTTGTGAAAAAATAGTTTTCTTTTTATACAAACTGCAAAATGACTAATTAGATACACGCATTTTGCCCATATTACACTAATCAGAACACAAATATCAAAACAACTAAATTTTTTTTCAGATTTCTTGATTCCATTTACATTTTCGAAAAATCTATAGGCCATTTACTATTATAATTTGATGTCTTTTTTTGGTGTAATACCATTAAGCGACGTTAATATTTCTAGTGGGGCCAAAATTGATTGTCCCCTTTAGAAATAATACTATACGTATTAATTTCTCTAAGCAGTAACAACCAGCGAAATAATTCAGACATTCTTGATTCATAGTGTTCCCTAAATTATTTTTTTTATACGGTGCCATGTCGAAAATGAACGTTCACCACTGCAGTCATTGATCATGAGGGACAAACTCACCATACGAAATACAGCAGCTTAATGCTGCTGTGTTTCATATGGTAAGTGTAGGGAACCGGAGACCCGTTTTACTGGGATCGAGGCATTCCACCTTAGTCCTCAGGGGTGCAACGCATCTACATTTTGATTCTTAATCGAATGTAGATGTCTATGCGCCACAGCATCCACTTACCTTCAGGTGGACTGTGTACTCGCTTGTCACCCTTATCCTATTAAAAAAAATAAGTTAGTGTGTTGTTTTTACTTTTATTCCTTTTTTTATTATCAGATAAATAATATTTGCTATAAATAAATATATTTTTTTTTACTTAAAACGCGACGTTGATGCGCGATGACGAAAGAGTGAACGTTACGCAGCGCCATCTCTCATTGACCAGGTGCAACTACATTGAACAAAACCGCGCAGATCCCCTTAAGAACCCGTTTGTAATTATACAAAAAGGCAGAGTTACGTTATTTATTATGCGATTCAAAAATTGCGGGAAACCAGATTGTGGAAAGTAAATGTGAAGGAATGTTATTTTTTTTTAAATTGAAATAAACAATCAAAAATTATATTTTTGTACAAAAATATCAACTTCGCACGGGGTTCTAACCCAGGGATCACAACTACGAGGTCGTCAAATTATCAATGACGTTAAGTTACGTACCTATCGGTAAATATGAATGTTTTGCATTCGCTTTTTCTAAATTAAGGACTACAAAAATACACAAGCAGAAATATGAAATTCATGGGTATCTACGTTTACTTTTTGTCATACTGATATTATGACATGAACTTGCAGTCCACCTGAGGTCTATTCACATTCGTAGATAGTATTTTTTTTAATATCAAACAAAAAATGCTATAGGAATATTGTTACATCTGAGGGCTAAAATGGAATACCTCAAAGCTCTTAACTATTCCGTAAATAAAATTCTTTATAATAAAAAAACCTTAACAGAAAAATTATGTTGTTGTTGAAGCGACAGTAGCCTAATGGCAGAGCGCGGACCGCGAACTCAAAAAGGTCGTGGGTTCGAATCCGCCATTCACGACTACTGGCGTGAACCACTCGTAACACAAGCAATTTAAGCTTACCACGAGTGATTAAGGGGAATAATAGTAATGTTTATAGCATTGTTAATATTCTTTTTAAAAAAAAAAACTTAAGAAAACTTTAAAAAAATGTTTCGAGCCTGTAAAAGTTTTAGAATTTTTTTTTTATTTGAAACTGCTAAATCTCAGAACTTTTGACGGTATAGCATTCTAGTTACGTCTTGAACTTGATAAGAGGAAAAGTAAATAAGATAAATAACAAAGAATAACTAAGAATTTTTATTTAAAACAAAATTTATCCACAATTATTAAAGTTAATAAACTTAAACCAAAATTATTAAAATTAGTCTTGTAAATAAATTAATTTTTGTTTGATTTATTTTTCATAATTTTTCTCCCATTAACTCCATGTTCTAACTCACGCTATTGAAATTTTTCGTCTCTGTAGCATATATATAAGAGACGTTCACATCTCACCGGAGGGGTCCGTTTCTACACAGGGAAACAGTGGCATTGGGTTAATTCCCAACCACCGTTCGGTGCCCGGCCGCAAATGCGCCAAAACCATGCTAGCGAGGAGTTAAGGGGCAACACTCCTCAACACCACTGTTGTAGAAACTATGACACCCTTTTTTGGTTTGTTTTTCTGTTTGACTTCAAAAACTTTACCATTTCACAGTATTTTTTTAAAGTCAAACAGATCAGAACAGAAACTCGCTATATGAATAAATATATGTTGATAATTATTAATTCATCCATATAATATAAATCTAATTCATTATGATAATGAAATAGTTAAATAACCCAGAAGGACCACGCTCTCACAGAATACCAGCGTAAAATAGCAGCTTAATGCTGCTTTGTTTCGCATGGTAAGTGTAGAGAACCGAAGACCCTTTTTACTGGAAACGAGACATTCCATCTTAGTCCTCATGGGTGACAATGCATCTGCATTTTGATTTGTAATCGAGGATAGATGTAGATGTTTATGGGCTACAGCAACCACTTACCATCAGGTGAACTGTGTGCTCGTTTGTCATCCTGTCCTATAAAAAAAATAGTTAAATGTAGTTTTAACTTTATTAAGGTTTTAAACTCGGTTTCGATTAAGTCAATTTAGTACAATTTGCTTTACTATCGATGGCTGTAAATATCGTATTTATGTGGGTAGGTACATAAATGTTAATAAATAGCCGATTCCCGAGACCACGGCTGCTTGAAAATGAATTTAAAAAGATACCCTTGGGATTTCTCAAAATCCTTTCTTTGAACGGATCTAATTTTGTAGATATATTATATATAAAACTTCAAGAAAAGAAAGTTATGTAAGTATTCGACCAGTATGTCAATGTTAACCACCCAAAACCAGTGAACCAATTTTAATGATAATATTTTTCTAACTTATTCTTCATAAAGGTCAGTTGAAGTTGGTTATTTTTTTGGAAATAATATTCACATGGTTCTACTAATTAGGCACAAAAAGTATTCAAGAAAAAAATGCTAAAAAGTTTTAAGCGATTAAAACACGTTAGGGCCGAAGTTCGCACCCGAAGCGAGCGACATAAGACCATCTTACCCCACGTCTATCCACACTATTTCTGTGCTTATACGGAGCTAATAAGTTCGCAAATCGCCTGGCACGAAAACAGAAGAAATATTTGAAAATCCTAATTTTATTTTAATTTATTTGAAATTAACATTAGAATAAATACAAGACAAACAATAAAAAGATGTTACTTACTTTGTACACCTGT